TATTGTGTGTGTGTGGCCAGCTCAGGCCACCAGGGGGCGGGGCTGGCTGGCATGTGGTGCTGGGGGATCGAACCGTGGTCCCTGTGCTTTGCCAAGCTTGTTCCATGTAGGTGCTTTAGACCACTGAGCCATCTCGCCAGCCCCTGTGTCAGAAATTTTAAAAGGTTTTTAATGAGAAAAATCATATTGCCTTTTTAAAAAAAAATAAATAAATAAAGGTTCCATGAGTTTGTGTTTGCTTCGTAGAATATGAAGGTGGTAATTTTTTATAGCAGCATCTTTCTGGAATTATTTTTTGTTCTTTGCTTATTGGTAGAAGTCAAATTGCATTTGAGATTCATAGTTGAATCTGGCTTTTGTAATTGTTTTTGCTTCCATGATAGCATTTTTTTTAAAAAAGCATAAAGTGGGTATGGTGACATATACCTGTAATCCCAGCCCTTGGGAAGCTGAGACAGGAGGATCACCAGGAGTTTACATAGCCTAGATTACCATGGCAAGACCCTGTCCAACAGAAACAAAACAACTCATGAAAGCAAACAAACCCCAAAGTGTAGTTATTGGGAAGTTTTGTTGGGGTGCTTTTTTTTTTTTTTTTTTTGAGATAAGGTCTCACTATGTAGTCCAGGTTAGCCTTATATTTACCTTAAGTATTCCAGGTTGGCCTTGAACTCAAAGTGATCATCCTACATCAGCCTCCTTAGTGTTAGGACAAACGATATGTGCTGCCATGTCCAGCTGAAGTATAGTTTTTTTTTTGTCTTTTTGTTTTGGCAGAACTGGGGATCGAACTCAGCCCCTTGTGCTTGCCAGGGAAGCACTTATTCCACTGAGCCATCTCCCCAGCCCCATTTTTATTTTTATTTTTATTTTTATTTTGTGTGTGTGTGTGTGTGGCTCACTCAGCCCACCAGGGTGACTGGGCTGACTTGGCATGTGGTGCGCTAGGGATCAAACTGCAGTCCCTGTGCTTTGCCAAACAGGCACTTTAGACTGCTGAGCTAGCTCACTGGCCCCAAAGTAATAGTTTTTGAACAAAGACTTAATGTTTTGTTGGTATTGGAGACTGAGCTTAGGAGCTCCATTCCAACTCCTTTTTTATTTTTCATTGAGAAGGTCTGTTAGGTTGTCTAGGCTGTACTCCAATTTATAATCCTACTGTGTGTCCCAGAGTGCTGGAATATAGGCTTGACTTGAATAAAGATATGTCAGAATAAAGTTGATATTCTGGCAGTAATTTTTTGTTTTAAATTTTGTAGGCCATGGATCATCTGCAATCATTTATTGCAGATTGTGATCGAAGAACAGAAGTGGCTAAGAAAAGATTAGCAGAAACTCAAGAAGAGATTAGTGCTGAAGTGGCTGCAAAGG